CTTTGCCAGAAGGCCATTACCTCGTCACTCCAATATTAGTTGTTTATAAATACTGGTTTATAAAAAGTGACCTAACAGTCCAGATTACCCTTATTCACATTGAGTAGTATCTTAAACCAGAAATAGTCACATTGACCTCAATATGCATGTGGATTAAGGTACTACTCAGGGTGCGTTAGGTGATCATAATTTGGCACTACATTATTGAGTCCAGATTCCCCATGTAGTAAAAGACAACCACTACATACACATCCACATAAATGAATGTCTAATGCTCTTGAAAATTTCCTGGAACGGTAGCTATTTCCCACTACTACAGCATTGCTAGATTTTACATTTGTACGTGGTGTGATACTAAAGTATCTTTCAGCTCACAAATTTGCTTCATAAAGATCACAGATAGTTACATTCAAAAACTGCAAAATGAGGATGAGCCCATGAATAGAGATTAATTAGTGAATCATTCTTTGAGACCAGAAGAATACAGCGCTTTATGCACTGAATAAATCATTGAGTATTCTTTGGTTACCACTTACCACACATATTTCGCAGAGCTTTCATAGGATTAAGCAAAACACATTAAAAGTTTAATCATCTAAAAATTCATGCTATTGAAATGTTATGCGATCTAAACAAATTAGCATGGCAGCCAATTTAGAAAAGCAAATGTCTGCTTGCACGGGCAATTATTTATAGCTGGATAAAATTATAGATGATGTTCTGCATAAATATTGCTCTTGGATAAAATTAACACATTTTTTTGTTCCATGGTTAATTTTATTAAGGGGAAAATGCTGTTTTAAAAGGCTGTAAATCTTTTCACAAGCACTCTCTGGGGAAAAAAGCAATAGAGGATATTTTGTAGGGAACTGCTGTAAATTTTTAAAAACCAGTAATACTGACAAAGGATATTTTCTCATTAGAGTCTGTATTTATTAATAAATAATAATAATTGTAAAAGAGCTACTTAGACTTTACAGTATCTTTCATTCCAAAGGATTCCAAAGTGCTTCATAAACAAAGTAAATTCAGCTGGACCACTCAAGTAAATGAAATTATTAATGTGAGTATGCATTGCACAACTGGATCTTTGAATTGTTAGATAATTAATAGTTCATCACGTGAAGACTCCCTACCTGACTGAAAATGTAAGGGACATTTAGATAGGGAGAACATGGTAACCAGAGTTTGTATGCGACCTGAAGTTTTGGGTTATCACCCCTACTACTTTATTAAAAGTACCATGGGATATTTAACAAGCACACGTGGCTAAAACCGCTATTTTTCTACATCTCTAAAAAATAATAATAATAATAAGAAAAAGCAGTAACTTCAGCAGCACAGTCCTCCATAACATTGAACTAGGACACTGGTTCAGCAGCGGCTTAGAATGAAGAATGTCATCTACTAAACTGAATCACTGAGACCACTTCCTGCAGCATTTAAATTTCCTTTGGTCTTTCATTCAAATACTGACCCAGCATGTGCCCCCTGAACTGGTGGGATCATAAGTGCTGGAGCACAAAGTGGTATGGCTGTAGATGTTTCATGAATCATACTAGACAGGAGTTTCAGTCTGGGAATGAGCCTGGGAACAGTGGTATTTGCAGCAATATTTGCATTTCAATTTTCAAGTTCTCATTTGTTTATGTGACCGTTGGGATTTCTACTCTATAGAAAGAGTGACAGGGCTATAATTAAAGCTTGCTAATAGCAAGCAGCAAATAGATTAATATAATGGCTATGTATTAATGAGATAATATTTGTAAAGTGCTTTGAAGAGACAGTGCTATAAAGGGGCAAATTAATATTATAATTAAGGCTACAATTTTGTCCCAGAGGTCGCGGAAGTCATGAAATCTGTGACTTACAAAGATCTCCATGACTTCAGCCCTGTGGTTGGGAGCTGCAGGGTCCTACTGCCTCCCACAGCAGCAGAGAGCTGTGAGATACCCCCGCCGCCTGACGCAGCGGACCCCCAAGCTGCCAGGAGCCATGGGCAGCGGGGGGCCGGAGGATCCTGGCAGTTCCCCGCAGCAGCGGCAGGGGGACCCCACAGCTCCCTGATGCAGCAGCAGGGCAGAGGGACCCTCGCAGCTGCTGGCCACCACGGGTGGCAAGGGGCACCTGTCACTCCCCACTGTTGCAGTGACAGGGGGACCCCTGCGGCTCCCTGGCTGCCACAGCGGGGCGGGGGACCCCAGAGTGCCCAGCCACCTTGGGGAGGGCAGGGGGACCACCACAGCTCCTCACTGCAGTGGTGGTGGCAGGGGGATTCCTGCAGCTCCCCACTGCCATGGAGCAGGGGGACCCTGGATCTCTGAGCCCCATGGGTTGTGGGGGCCCCAGAGCTCCCAGCCACCCATAGCTGCCCAGTCCATTCCCATTTTATCATGGATATTTTTTAGCAAAAGTCAGGAACAGGTCATGGGCTTCTGTGAATTTTTCTTTATTGCCCATGACCTTTTACTAAAAATATCCATGACAAAATCTTAGCCTTAATTATAATTATTGTATGTTTGTTTTTCCTCAAGGATCACATCAACCTATTATTACTGGGCTATTATTCCCAGAAGATAAGTTAAAGGGACACTTTCTATTTGAATTTTCTGTTACTGTATTAAGGATATATTGTGAATTGAATGTTTTTTAGATTCTTTATCAAAAATATATATTATGGTTTTTCTTCTCTCCTGTCTGTTGGGTAGACCCAAAGCACTACTACCAAACGCTCAGGTGACTTTTTACACAACAGTGTGCTGCCTGTATAACCTACTGCCTAATTGCATCATGGACCCTCTAATGGCTAGTCCACAAAGAGGATAAAAGTCTACTGTTGCTATCCGACAATGGTGGTAATTCATTAGCTCACTTGGTAGGGACTTGTGTGTTGGTCCTAGGTTCTATTCCTGATGATGATCTGGTTTCAGTTTCAGCTTTGTTGCTACTTGTAAACACCCTATTGCAGATTCTTTGGGAAGAGTGTGCTTATGAACTCCCATCCAGAGCAAATGCAGGAGAGTGATGCAGTTTGCCATCAACAAAACAGTGAAACAGACCATACATAAAACGCTGGCAAATGCACAAAAACAAACAAACTAGGGGAAAAAGAAAAGAAAAGAAAAGAAAAGAAAAGAAAAACATACCGCCTTCAATCTCTTCAAACTATAGTAGTATAGTAGTCTTAGGAATTACTTATAACAAGAGAAGGTATAACATTTTCAAATGGCAATGTAAAATTCAAGTTGGTGTCCCTTGGAACAGGAACAATAAAATGTGCCTGAGGATTCTTGAAATAAAATTAAGGCTATAAAGCAATGTTTCAGTGCATCTCAAAAGAGCATGTTTGAAGAGTTAGAGATTTCCATACATCAGTATTTCCAGAGGCGCAGCAAGCAGACTGAATATAAAAGAAGGGAATTAAAAATAACCTTGTGGGCATGAGAAACTTACTGAAGAAATCACAGATACCGGGAACTAACTTAGACATATCCATTTCCTGTTAGATATAACAATGTATTCGGAACATGCCCTACAAATTGACAGTATGGAACCCACTGAAAAGACAACAGACCCTATTTATAGAATGGCCTTTATGCCATGGAACCTTCTCCATCTAATTTTCAGTGCCAGAAAACAAAAATCTGCATCCTCCCCATATAAAAATATCTGCCAAATCACTTTTCTGTGTTTATCTTAAACAAAGAAATATTAAAATAATGTCCCATTTATTTAAAAGTGGGGCTATGTATCTAAACTGAGATCGTCACAAATCTAAAAATAGATGTGTGGAAAGGTACAAAGATCAAGAGAAGGCTTTTGTGACATTTAAGATTTCCTTATGTCCCGTACAATATGAAAATAATGTTGATAGCTTGGTTTAGTATAACATTTAAGAGGCCACAACGCACTTGTTACCCTACTAGAATGGATTTTTTGCCAAGATTGTTTCTCTGACATTTAAAAATGTTTTAAATCCCAACATGGTTATGTAATATTGATGGTATTAGAATATATGCAGATAAAGCTTTAATCAAAAAGTACGAAATTTACCTATGCAGTCAATCTGTTGGTTTGCAATGTCGCATTCCAAAAACATTTAAATATTTTAATTATAATAGTGCAAACAAAAATATGTTTGCACTAACAGCAGTTTATTCAACTACTGAAAATACCTTCAGTTTTATTTTGCCACAATAATGTATCATGTTGTCTAATCAAGTTTGCTATGGGGGGGGAGGGGAGACAGCACATGGCTACTATTTCTCCATCAAAGGCTTTATGGGGATTTTTAGCATTTGAATTCAGTACACATTCACGGCACATTATAGATTCTGGTGCTAAAGAGCTTTGTCTTTGCTACCACTGAAGGGGCCAGAAGTGAGATCATGGAACTTTGGATCCCTCACATCATCATCATCACTGCGGTTGTTTTGCTTATCTGTCCCATCACTGTTTAAAATGACAGGCTGGTGTACAAATAAACATTTGCATGTACACCATGAAAGGTGAAAATTTTTTTGCTTGATATTCATTAATCACTATGGAATAATTGCCATAGCACCACTTTTTGACGGCTAATGAAAGAAGTTACAGTTTCTGAAGTCCAAAATGACTTACCTTTTTACCTAGCCCAACTCTGAGTTGGGATCTTGAGGATGAACTTCTCCATTCTCTTCTTTCTGCTCATTTACATGAGCAGTCTTGCAGCTCACTATCTGGATAAATTGGCATACTAAAGCAGTCGCTATGCAGTTTAAATGTCATTCTGGGATTTATACACCCTACACAGTCATGGAAAGTAGGTCTAGAATTGGACTCAACTATGGTATTTTCAAGCTGTTGAACTTAATCATCAATATACGGTTGCTGATAAAGTATTGAACATGAATAAAAAAATAATAAATCAGTAACATTTATTTATTTCAACATTAAATAAGTAATTTAAGGGGGTTATTTATCATCAAATGTACACATCTCCAATTTATCATTCAACTTACGGAAGAAACAGCAGACAAAATCTCAACAGTGCTGGTGCTCAAGGTAACATAAGGGATCAGTTGATGAGTTATCCCAGCTTCACTGAAGATGCTATTTGTGTAGTACCAGATCTATATAAAAAAACAAAATAAATGCTTCATTAGCAGTCATGGTTTGAAAAAGGGGACTTTAACATTTAATTCAAATATATAAACAGAAGACTTAAAAAAAAGCCAAATAATATTGCATGATGAGCTGCCTGAGAGTGTTAAAGTGACTATAAATCTTAAATTGGGGCACATGATGGATGTATAATTTTTTGTTTCTTCACTCACAAATCAAGAACTTTGAGCAAAAAAACGGATAAAACCTAAAAGGCAAATTATAAAAGCTGAAATATAATATTGGGTCTAATTCTGTACTTCCTTTTACGCCTTGTGGAGTCACCTGTAATATTTACACCTGTGCATAACAGACTGAAAAGGGGGAGTAAAACAACCATATCAGAAAACTAGTCTCATACTGCCAAGGGGGGGTGTAAATCACTGTGCTGGCAGTAATCTGTACTTGTGCATTATGTATAAATGGCTACATTGAAGTTGTTTATCGAATCTCTGAGAGTGCTTTGGACCTACAAAGCCAATGAATGGAAACAAAACCAAAAATCTTCTCTCATCTCCCTTTTTAAAAAATATGCAGTAACCAGATATTTGGGATCAAACTGAGTGTTACCTTGCACGCTGTGTAACTCCAAGGCATTCAATAGGGGAAAGAAGGTAGCACATAATTTGACTCATATTTAAACACGAGGCAGAGAATTCATATTTTTCACTTTGCTCTCAAAGTTCATGCTACAATATTTAAGTGTTGTGAAAAAATATGCAAGAAAATCGAAATCTTGAGATTTAGGGATTTCACTTCAATTTTTGCAAAATGGGTCTGAATTCAAGAAAAAAAAAATCTATGAAATTGCAAGATTTTCCCCATCAAAAATATCAAAAGTGTATAGATGTTGAAACACAAAAAAGGAAGCAAGAAAGGTTTCAGATGCCACTTGAACAGGGACTTCTAAATCTCAAAAATACTTGTGAACCAAAACACTGATCTCAATATATTTTGGTTTGGGTCAACTGAAATGTTTAATTTTGATAATTGAGAAACATTGTTTCAATTTTGACATTTGTAACTTTCTTGGCTAATTAGCTTAATTTAAAAATGAAGTTGTTTTGAACCAGAAAACCAAAAATTTTCATTATGAAAATGTCAAAAATGAAACATTTTGACAATTGCAAAAATTTTTCGAGATGGAAACCAAGCCTTGTTTCGTGAACAGTTTCAGTGTTGAAGAATTGGCATTTTTTGACAAAAAATCATTTAGTCAAAAAACTCCCAACCAACTTTATTGAGAACAAGCATTTCTGATCATCTCCAATAAAAATACCACATTCATGCAATTAACTATAACATGGAGCCTACGCCCTTCAGGGGTCCTTGGCTTCCTGGACAGAGCCAAAATTTGCATCTGGGCATGCTGCATGGCCCAGTTATTTTCTTGGGCATCTAAAGAGTGGGTGGATTGAGGTAGATGAGGCAGATGGAGAGCAGGTTTATTTGGAGGGAGAGCTTTAATATTGGGCATGTGCTTTATCCTCTTGATTGCATGCCCTTGCGTTTTATAAAAAGTGCACAGAGTTTTGGGGCTTGATTCTGAAAAGTGCTGAGCACTCTGGCCCTGACCCCCCCCCCAACCACTTGAGTAATCCCATGGAAATCAACAGGACTTAAAGTACAGGTTTAAATGCTTTGTTGGATGAGCAATATGAACTGCATGTAACTGATGCAGTTGCAAGCATAACTCTTCTGCATGCCTTTGCAGGACCTCAAACAATAGCTCTGAGAGGAGTGACCTGACCCATTCATCTCAATGGAAACTCAGATGCCCAATGATAAGGGGCTGCCATGTAAAAGTATTAGCTATTCCACTGTTCAGCAAAGCATGTAAGAAAGGAGAGGAATGATCATATCATGAAGACAACCTACTGTGACTCACAGCTTGTTTTGGTGCTTGGGAGAGACTGACAATCCTCCCACTCCAAACAAGACGATGCCAGCAGACGACCAAAGCCCCTTCAAAGGGAAGCTAAGCTTAAAAAGCCCAGTGGGGCATATGAGCTTCACTGAGGGGAAACCAAGCCTGATAAGTCCATCAAAGCACATGGGTCTTAATGGATCCTGGTGAGGGTGTCTGAACCCAAGCAGCCCAGAGAGTATGTGACACCACATTCTGACTTGGTGCCTTGTGTGGGTGGAGCTTTGAAGAGTATGACCATCTTTTTCTCCCAATTCTGACCTGTGGACAATATGATTCTACTAAAAAATGGTTCCGCTCAACTAGACATGGCAGAAACAAAAAGCAAAAGGAGCATTCATGTTCCTGTGCAATTCACACACTAAGGAATAACTATTTGAGAGAAGAATAACCAACGCCAATGACTTATTTTAGTAATCTGGATAAAATATTCCAGCATCTTTGCCATTAAACATAATTTACAGAATAAAGTTACTCTGCTCTCTGTTAAACTATCTTGTTGATTCTCTATCAGAAACTTTTTATCCCTCAAAATTCTATCTTAAGGTTGCACATGGTGTATGTTAAGCAGTCGGAAATGAATTATATTAAATAGGAAGCAAGAGAGAAAAGGAACAGATCAAATTCACCAGTGATGAGAAATTATATTCACGTAATTTTGTTTTATGTGTATGTTAAGGCTGAGATACTTTATTATTAATTTATATTTTGAAGTTAATTCCGTGTCCATGGTATATAGATTTATCATATACACCTCTACCCCGATATAATGCTGCCTTCGGGAGCCAAAAAATCTTACCGCGTTATAGGTGAAACCGCGTTATATCAAACTTGCTTTGATCCACCGGAGTGTGCAGCCCCACCCCCCTGGAGCGTTGCTTTACCACGTTATATCCTAATTCATGTTATATCGGGTCGCGTTATATCGGGGTAGAGGTGTATAACTTTTTATTGAACCAATAGAAACTAATACAGTTTCTTTTGAATATTGTGATTTATTGTTTAATGTTTCACCATAATTACATCTAGTAGTATGATCATCAATGTCTTCATTATAGTTTCTGGTGCATCTATAAAATAATGTACTTGCTGGAATTAAATGGTGAGAATTTTTATTACAAGATAAAGCCTTAAAGGGAATAATTGCTAGATATACTCCTCAAGATACCAGCTGGACAATTACAGAAGGCAGCCACTTGGTAATTTCCCCTGGGAATGATCTGAAGCTCTTGGATAAATGTGGAAGGATGAGTCCAATCTTTTTTCTAGGACAACCATCTGGGCAAGACATATGGCAAACCCTGCCTGGCTAGTTGGCCACCACAGGCCAACTGGATCTTAGAGTTTAATATTATGGAGGATTTTCATATTGTAAAGAACTCTCAGATGAAATCAGAAAGAATGTTAATCCACTTAAAATACTGTGCCTGTGTGAGAATGGATTTATTGCATGCTTGCGACTGAGCAGGCAAAATACTTGCTCATGGGCCAAATCCTGATTGCCACATAGTCCCACTGAAACCAATGGGATTCCGATGGAAGTTATGTCAAGCCTGTAAGAATAACGGTTGCATGGTTGAGAAACAAAAGGCTATACTTATTTTAACTTTAATTCTCTCTCAAAATTAAAATAACACGATCTCAAGAAACCTGCACCAGGAGAGGGTGGGTGCCTGCATGCGCACAATCTTATTTTCCTGCCAAAAGGACAGTAGGATCTTTCTCTCTCAGTTCCATTGTCCCAAATGGGGGCCTAATCCAAAATCCACTGAAATCAATTGGAGTTATTTGCATGGGCTTCAGTGGGGTTTGGATCAGGCCCAATCTGAGAAAACAGTATACACCATGCAAGACACCATATACTTGCACTGTTCTACTTTTAGATCCTATAAAGAAGGAGAACCTGCTCACTCTTTGTGCCCTCCTATAGTATGAATAATCTGTAGATTCCAGTAGACATTAAAATGGCAATTTCCACTACATACTGGGATTCCAACATATGCCTAGGTGTGAGGACACTTTCTGTGTACCAAGAGATTTTTTAGAAATGCTTAGCATTCCCCAAACTAAGTCTCTGATTATGTTTTCAAGTTTATAGTGATCGTTTATACTGGTGAAGAATTAAAAGCTAAGGTATGCACATGTACAAAAAGTAAGGTCCTGATTTAGCAAAGTATTTAAGCATGTTCCTAACTTTAAGTAATCAACGGAATGGAAGTATTCATCCACTTAAATTTAGAACTGTGCTTAAATACCTTGCTGAAGTCAGTCTTAAATAAGGAATTCAGGGAAGAGATATTTCCCACAAAGAGTAATGAACATACTGGATAAGTTACTGTGAAATATGATTGATGCAAATAGTGTAATTAAGTTAAAAAAAACTCTTGGGACAAAACTTTGTCGTTGAATACATGCATGATTTCCATTTACCTTAATGGGAGCCCTGTAAATATACCAGAGAGCTGAATTTGACTATGATTTGATTTTGCAGGAAAAGAGTATGGAGAGTTATAAAATGTACATCAACCAAAGAGCAGCAGGTTTGTCCGGGTACCTTACCCTTTTCTTAGAATGTCTTAAGTTCTTAGTGGCATAACAAAGCAAGTGAAACAGTGATTCAGTATCTACTTTAGCCAATTTCTGTTACACAGCACCTTTCTTGCAGGCATCTCAGAAGGTTTTACAATAATAATAATTTAACTAGAAAATCAGTTTCAAATTGTAATTCAAAACTCAATTTGTGTAACAAATTTTACATAATTGGCAGAATTATATGGGGGAAAAAACAAAGCAAAAAATGAGATAAAAATACCCAATTCCTAGGACTACAGGGCACTGCCAATTGATACTTTTATATGGAGCTTTGATTTCAAAATGTACCTGCCTAAAATAAATGCTGCATTAGTTTTGGAACATGTACAATTGTTTAAAAAATATATACCCCACCAGGAAAGATATGGTGTTTTGCTTATAAAGCATGTCATATTTCATTGGAGCTGGGCAATTTTGGTCTTTCAAATATGCCAAAAGTCACAAATTTCTCCTTATATCCCTGAAAATATCTCTATGGGTTTTTTAAAGCAATGCAAACACATAACTTTAGTAGTCTGTGTTGCTTACTGTAGGTGTCATTTATTTCACTTATAAGTTGAGTTGATAAATTGTAACAAAGAACGGGTGACAAGATAATTCCATTTCATTTCATCGCAAAATATCCACAACAAGGAACAAAAAAACCTGTCATTAGCACTGAAATCTTGCAGTTAGAAGAAAACAATACCTACTGTGCTACGTTTTTTCTAGTGTCCCCTAAAAATTGAAGAAAATCTTTTAGACTTCTTTCTCGTATGTGTTGAAAAGTTTTTCCGTTACCTGGGTTACATTTCCAGTTCATTATCACTTTAGGTAACATTTTCAAAAGCGCCTAAGTGACTTTTAAGGTATGTCTATACTGCAGCAAGGAGTGAGCCTCCCAGCCCTGGGTAGACAGACTTGCACTACCGAGCTAAATATAGCAACGCTGATGTTGCAGCACTAAGGGAGGCTGGACAAGCCATTTGTGCACAACCCATCCTGCCCCTTGAACCCTAGCTCAGGTGGCTATCCTGAGCCTACGTCAGGGCTGCAAGAGCCACATTGCTATTTTTTGCATCCTAGCATGAGCCCCGCTAATATGAGTCTGTCTATCTGGGCAGGTGCCTTGTTCCCAGCTGCAGTGTAGACACACCCTTAAGGGCTCACTTTTGCAAACTGGGACTTTATGCTCCTAAGAGCATGCGTCTCATTGAAAATCAAGGGGACATAGGCCTCTAAATGCCTAAGTCACTTGTGAAAAGGTTACCCACAAGAGACCCCAATTAGAGCTGGGCAAATAACTGATTTTTCAGTTCACTGGCAGTTAAAAAAAATTGGGTCGGGTTCAACCAAATCCAAAAATTGTGAACGTGATTGACTGTGAACTGCCACTATGAATGACAATGAATATTCATGGGGGGAGTGGAAGGGGAGGGAGTGGAGAAAGAGTGAGAGAGAGGAAACTATGCACACACTCCAGCACAGTGTTTAGGGTATGCACCTTGGCTGTGGGAGAGCCAAGTTCAAGTCCCTGTTCCAATGGCTATTTAATTATTTATTCAAAACAGCTCCAATCACAGAGACAGAGAGCACAATAGTAGAATACCCCATAGCCTATTGGTTAGGGGCCCCCTCCTGCAATGTAAGAGACCCAAGTTCAAGCCCTTGCTCTACATCAGCAGAGGGGGGAACTGAACCCATATCTCCCATCTACTAAGTGAGCGCTCTAACCAATAGACTAAAGAATAGAGAGGCTGCCAATGGCACCTATTTTTCAGGCGAATTCATGTCAAATTCACTAATAGTTTTGCGAAGACCAAAACTGTATTTTTCAGTAAAATGTACAAAAAACAGTTTGCTAGCTCTAACCCCGTTGTCAGTTGGGGCTTTGAAATGCTACTGCAACACAAATAATGAACAACAGTCATAAGAACATAAGAACGGCCATACTGAGTAAGACCAAAGGTCCATCTAGCCCAGTATCCTGTCTTCCAACAGTGGGCAATGCCAGGTGCGCAAGAGGGAATGAACAGAACAGGTAATCATCAAGTGATCCATCCCCTGTCACCCATTCCCAGCTTCTGGCAAACAGAGGTTAGGGACATCATCATGAGGAATAGCAGAGAAATGAAAAATTACGAAGATAGTCAAGTATGAAGACATATAAATACTGATTAACAAAAGGCGTGACCCATTAGAAGGCTGCATACTGAAAAGGAATACTTACAGCATTTAGCCCACATAGCTGGTAGCAGGCCATGGTGATGATCACAGTAATGATCTGCCAGCGCACAGAGGGGTTTCTAAGAAGTTGAAGGACAGACTCTAATTTAACATTTCTCTGCGCGTCACTCTCTTCTAATTCGTGAGAGACATCATCTTTCCCAAGGAAGGTCCGGAACGCTGCAAATGGACAATCAGAGATATTAGCAAGAAACCTAATATGCTTTATTTTTAAAAACAGGTGAGTTTCACAGAAGGTTGAATACGTTTAAAAACACTTTGAATATTTTTCACCTCTTTAGTGTAGCTATTCTGCTCCCTCTTTATTGAGCATGGCCTAGCTCACCATCATCACTACAATGGAATGCAATTTTGGGGCCCAGTCCTGCAAGCTGCTGAGCTTGCTCAACTCCAGCTGAAGGCAATGGCCGTCGAGGCCATTCAGCGTCTTGCAAGATCAGTCACTTTATTTTATTTTTTGTCTTTTGTCTACAAATTCTATCCCAAAATACTTTAGCGAGTCAAAACTATGTAAAAGACAATGGAGATGTAAACTGAAGGAAATTTTAACCAGGATTTCACAAGTGGTGCTGAACGCCTCATTTGGCTCTGACTACCTATGTAGCCAACCTGTTGAGCACCTGTTGATGACACTCATCATCAGAGTGGCAATTTTTGGTAGCATAGGCAAGGTTTTAGTCAGAAGACCAAAACCAGAGGGGAAAATGACATTATCAATGCATAGGAAAGGGAGAAGTGGGACATTTTAAGATGTGATTTAAAAAGAAACAGAGTTCTGGAGGCAAAGATATATAGGAAGAGATAATTAATTTCACCTACAGCTCCATAGATTTACAGAAAGAACAGGAGTACTTGTGGCACCTTAGAGACTAACAAATTTATTAGAGCATAAGCTTTCGTGGACTACAGCCCACTTCTTCGGATGCATCCGAATAGTTCTCTGTGAATTCCAGACTTCCTCCTAAGTTTTTTGTCTTCTTTAATGTAAAGAATCTGTATTGTTTTGTGACATAAACAGAGGGAAGGGGAGGAGGAAGAATGTATTGGCACACAAATACATAGGATGCATCCGAAGAAGTGGGCTGTAGTCCACGAAAGCTTATGCTCTAATAAATTTGTTAGTCTCTAAGGTGCCACAAGTACTCCTGTTCCTTTTGCGGATACAGACTAACACGGCTGCTACTCTGAAACCATAGATTTACAGGGCGCTTGACTGTTAAATAAGAAGACAGGGTCCTTGCCTCAAGGAGTTAACCTTTTAAGGGACTAATCTCGCTCCGATCAAGTCCCAAATGATGGAACTTTAGTGACCTGAAAATCCCACCTCTCCAGCTCTGTGATAGTGCTGCAATTTTGATCAGTGGAGGCACTAGAGGCAATTGCCCCCCTGCTTTAGCAGGGAAGAGCCTTAACGTCTGAACTACATGAACATTTATTTAAATTAAAATAAATAAGAGGTCATTTTATGTACAGCATACAAAAACACTCTTAGTTATGTAGCCTATGTATTTGTGTGCCAATACATTCTTCCTCCTCCCCTTCCCTCTGTTTATGTCACAAAACAATACAGATTCTTTACATTAAAGAAGAGAAAAAACTTAGGAGGAAGTCTGGAATTCACAGAGAACTATTTAACATTGATTGTAACAGAGATCTATGTAGCCAATGTATCTATGGTATCTCTATAGCACCCATCACCACAATATCCAGAACAAAGGAGGGATTTTCTAAAGCACTAAGCACTACCTAACTCAGTTCCATGAAGGTTAATGGGAGTTTTACCATGGACTTCAAAGAGAGCAGTGTTAGGCCAAGCTAATAGGTGAAAATCGCACTTAACAAATGCAAATAGCAATGAGATCAAGAGACTTTGTTTCTGCAGATGAAATGGACTGAGAAAAAGCAGAAAGGTGCAATTATTATAAACCAATAAAGAACAGACATTTGGGGCTGAAAGATTTTACCCTTCCTAAAACAATAAAACTTCAACTTCTTCTTTATGCAGACAGATTACAGCCAAGGATTCAACTACTCGGTGTATTAAATGGTTGGAAAGAATTACCCAAAGGAGTTAGTATTTTCCCAGTTCCCATATACAGAAAACTGGGAATCTAATTCACATCACTTTCCTTATGTCCGTGTTTATACCTCATTAACATGCATCAGCCAAAAAACAAAAAACAAAAAACCACTTTGGTGTAATAACATAATGGGTGAGATTTACTGCATTAACTTTTCACTGTGAACAATAAAAGCTTTCTACTGCATTCATGCACAAAGCATTTCCCGAAGCATTAGTCACTTTTCAAAGAACCCTTAATTTTGAAGTCGTCCTATGGGTGTGCTATAAATTGCTGATATTTTTATTAAAATCTCCAAGAACATATCCTGGGGGTTGGCTTCACAACATATATTTAAATGTTCGACACCTTGGAATTATTTCTGCTACAGAGAATCAATTGCATTATAAAGGCTCCTGTAAGCAGGCTGTTCTGAACACTGTAAGAGGCGAGTCTCAAAAACAATTATTTACTCAGCAGGCCACTTAAAATTCCTCCTTTTAAGGAAATAATAGCAGTTATTATTATTTTATTAGGAAGAAAAGTGATAGCATTGCTTTGATTTTACTGAGAAAGAAAAAAGCGTACTTTTGGCTTATTCACATTATTCACAGTTTTGCAAAGTATTATCTACAGAGGCATAATGTGCACAGCCACTCGTTTAGACCTCACAAAGGACTTGGATATCTAATAAAGCCAGATACACTCAGTCATGACGATTGAAATGCCCACAGTCCATTTAAGGTCTAAAATTCCTGGATTGTAGCATTATCTAGCAAAGAAATAGGACATACTGTGGAATTTCAATGTTATTAAGAATGTCACCCAAATCAAACAAAAAACCCATAATATTAATGTTCCAGGATCTGTGCTAGCTACCAGTTCAGTTCTCAGTGGAATTAAAAAGGACCTAGCCAAAATCTTCAGAATTGTCTAGCAATTTTGGATGCCTCCATTTTTTTCATGCCCAACTTGAGACCTCTTAGGGTCTGTCTACACTGCAATTAAACACCAGCAGATGGCCCATGTCAGCTGATGAAGGCTTGTGGGTCACGAGTTGTGAGGCTGTAAAATTGTGGTGTAGACATTCTGGCTCAGGGTGGAGTCTGGTCTCTGGGACCTTCTCCCGTTGCGGGATCCCAGAGCCTGGAATCCAGCCCGAGCCCAAACATCTACACTGCTATTTTACCGCCCCATGGCTGAGCCCCAGATGCCTGAGTCAGCTGACATGGCCCAACCATGGGTCTTTAATTGAAGTGTAGACAGACCCTTTAAAGAGCCTAATTTTTAGGGGTGGTTGCCGATCACTTCCTGAAAATATGGTACGTCAAGTTGGGCACCTAAGCGGAGGCAAACAAAAACAATAGTCACTTTTGAAAATCTTAGGTCATTAGCTTTAACCTATAGCAACCTAACTGCTTTGAGAGCAGGAGTACTTGTGGCACCTTAGAGACTAACAAATTTATTAGAGCATAAGCTTTCGTGGGCTACAACCCACTTCTTCGGATGCATATAGAGTGAAACATATTGAAGAGAAATATATACACACATACAGAGAGCATGAACAGGTGGGAGTTGTCTTACCAACTCTGAGAGGCCAATTAAGTAAGAGAAAAAAAACTTTTGAAGTGATAATCAAGATAGCTCAGTACAGACAGTTTGATAAGAAGCAAGTGTGAGAATACTTACAAGGGGAGATAGATTCAATGTTTGTAATCTATTATCACTTCAAAAGTTTTTTTTCTCTTACTTAATTGGCCTCTCAGAGTTGGTAAGACAACTCCCACCTGTTCATGCTCTCTGTATGTGTGTATATATTTCTCCTCAATATATGTTTCACTCTCTATGCATCCGAAGAGGTGGGTTGTAGCCCACGAAAGCTTATGCTCTAATAAATTTGTTAGTCTCTAAGGTGCCACAAGAACTCATGTTCTTTTTGAGGATACAGACTAACACGGCTGCTACCCTGAAACCTGCTTTGAGAGCTGCATTCTCAAGAGACCTCATCTCTAACTGCTCCATTCTACCATCACTGGTACCAAGAGAGGCATCCATGCAGGAGCCCCCTTCATTCGGAAGACAGGGGGCTGCTAGCAGAGCATTATACTTAAAGGGCTTTTTCCTCTGCAACTCACAGTTTTCCTTTCCCTTTGGTGCAACACAGACCAGATTATTTTTTTAAAATTTCTGGCACACTGCTTAGATTCATCTATTTATGCAGGTCTTTTGAGCAGAGGTAGGTTAATAAACAAATTCTAATTGTTTTGTGGTTGGGGCAAGCAGGTATCCTTTTCTCATGGAAAAATTACCGGTATTATTCATTGAATTATACTTTTTAAATGATGTTCTTAATTCTTGCTTAAATTATTGTAAAGTATGTAGAGCTTGGTATAAGCTGTAAAAGAAGTAAATCTAGGTACACCTCTACCCTGATATAACGCTGTCCTCGGGAGCCAAAAAAAATCTTACCGCGTTATAGGTGAAATCGCGTTATATCGAACTTGATTTGATCCGCCGGAGTGTGCAGCCCCGCCCCCCAGAGCACTGCTTTACCGCGTTGTATCCAAATTCATGTTATATCAGGTCACATTATATTGGGGTAGAGATGTATAGTATATGTAATGATCTACTTACCTACCTACCTACTTACATATTATATCCTTTATTGTTAAGGATGCTAATATTGAAGAACAACACATAAGGAAGGTAATAAGAAGTACAACGTCAAAGAGCTTCACATATTTTTAATGCATCGTTTTATTTTTTTACTGGAGTAAACCAGGTCAGTGCACAATTTTCTTTATTTTTCCTGTTCTCAGAACCCTCAACATCCCTGTAGGGCATGCAGTCAAAATACAGGTGCAGTCAAGTAAAAAGAAAGCAATCTGTCTATTCTACACAGGGGGTTTGGTATATTTCTAAACGGAGGAGGAAGTCAAAAATTGTAAGTACAGAAAATGATTAATCGAGCACAAGGGAGAAAAAAAAGGTATCTATTTTCCTTTCCCTCCCTGCAGTTAAGAATAGAGATGTAATTGCCAACAGCAAAACTTCACAAATACTTGAAACACCAGTGAATGCTAACAAACCACTACTTCCCTGCATTAATGCAGAGTATGGAGCACACTCCTACAACGCTAAATCCTTTCCAGCAGATTTAACAAGATTTCATGTTACTCAACACTTATCCTGAAATTTCCTCCAACCCACCTCTTCCAATAATGTCAGAAATATAATTTTATAAGTTAATAATATTATTTGCTAGGATTTTTCAAGCCTGCTTGACTAGGGAAGAATCTGCCTGGAAAAGTGGTAGAAAGCTCAGACACTCGCATCATTTAAACTCAGCAAAGCACAAAGACAATAAACTGAAGGAAATAAACTCTGCACTGGCAGGGAGATGGCCAGAGTGCAGTAATGGGGCTTTTCAGTCAGTTATGTCTAATTTTATTAATTCCAACAGCTCAAATTAAAAAATTAAGTTGAGTGCAATGGCAATTTTTGTCCTGGCAAAAAGGAATGATTTGTTTCACTTTTACCCCACCTGGAACACTTACTTTTCCATCTGTGGCTGGCTGGCTTTTTATCTTTATGGGAAGGCTTTATTTTCACTTCTTTCCTTTTGTGCCATAATGACTAAGGGCTTATTCCTCTGGCATCTCTTAGACTTCTTTCCACCCGGTCTTTCATCTCTCTCAGGCAACCATGTGCCAGATACATTGCACTCAAATGCTAATACCATCATGATTGGTAATAGGACATGAAAACTTTCAACTCTAAACCACTAGCTCAAATTTAAATGATATAAGACTCACGTTTCATCAGATGTATGAAGTAAAAGATACAGGAGCAGGTATAAATACACGAAAGGATGTGGGGTGCTTCACATCTGATGAAGTGGGTTCTAGACCACGAAAGCTTATGCTCAAATAAATTTGTTAATCTCTAAGGTGCCACTAGGACTCCTCGGGTTTTTTGTTTTTTTTTGCTGATACAGACTAACACGGCTACCATTGAAACCTATCCCAGTAGTGTCCCTGAGAGCAGGGTATGGCCTATAGGTTATGAAGTTAATTCCCAGCCAGAGGCAGCTCAAGGATGGAACTAACAGATGGGATTTGATCAGGTGCAGTGGAGCCTGTTTAAAGTCAGCACCTGGGTATCTCTCAGGATGGAGTGTTAGCACAGACCCATGCACCACTTAACTCCTCAAAATAAGGCTAAAGTGGCGCATAGCTCTTGTGCTCACCCACTGCACAGGGATGAATTTTAGCTTCAGGAGGTTGTGCTCACTAGAAACCAAGCCAGGGAGATGTGGGAAACATGGGAGTTGTCCTATTTGGTTTGCACTTTTTGTTTTTATTAATAATTATTTATTTATTGTGTGTGTTTACTGCTTGTTAAACTGCAAGGAAGGAAATGGAGAGAGAGACTTTTGCCCAGGCAAGAGAAGTGTGGATTAAAACAAAACACCTATAATAAAACCTAGAAGTATTCTAAGTATTTACAAAACACACAACCACAACAAAACCCTCTAAAACAAAACACTCCACTGCATGTACCTATCTCCCCCCAGGAGAGAGGATGAGAGAGAGAATGAACCCACATAACAGATGTTAGTCATGTCACTTAGTGCACAACTGGAAGGTACTCAGACACTAAAGCGACAAGGGTGGTATAAGATAATTTATGCAGAATGGAACAGAATATGGAATAGTATTCATGCCAGAAACAAAATAAAGTTCCTAAATTTATTGTAAATGAATTACTATAACCTGTACAATATGTTGATCTCCATCTAGTGGTGTGGTTTATTAATTCTAAGTGTTCTGATTTGTTCTGAGAGTTTGACCCAGCCAAAAGGAATGCAAAACTGCACTTGAAGACATTTCACAAATGATCAAATATCTGACAGCCACAAATCCGCAGTCCTGAGCTGAAAGACTGGGATTCTTCCCTCAGACATATCAAAATTATGACATGTCTCAAAATTCTGCCTTTACCATAGACATAGGTTTAAAAAAATGTACTGTGAGATAATTAAGTCTTTAAGTAATGGATTAATTTATGATGCAAAAGCACACACATAACGGCTTTGTTTGGTACAATTTTCATAGTCATCTGTGGTATTTTTAAATGTACTGGTACTGCTGGAAAAGGATAACACTAGTACATGAGTCACTTTAAAATCCAACCCTTTTTAATGTAATTAGGAGAGTTACCACAACACCCCCACAAACAGCTCACAAGATTCTTTGGCAGATCTCATTCAAAACTTCTCTCTTGCTTTAAAATTCTCCATAGACCTATTCCAACCTACTTCAAAGACCCTGGCTGAGACTTTCAAAACCAGGAGTCTAAAGTGAGGCACCTATGTCCATATTTAGACACCTACCAAGTGACTTGATTTTCAAGAAGTGGTGAGTAGCTCACAGCTTTGACAGAAATCAGTGGTCCCTGTGACACTGATTCAGTTCAATTATTTAGGAGTTTAAATGACAACTTAGGAGCATAGGCACTCGGGCTTGACAATCTTGGTCCTTTTCTCCAATCTTTTCTTCATCCTCTTGGCTCACTTAGCACCCACCTTCTTCCTTGTTCCTGTCACTCAATTTGACTACTGTTAGTAGGCAGGCCTTCTGCAGCTCTTTCCCGTTGGAAAAGCATTTTCCACGTCATTGAATCTCCAATCTCTTTTCAAATCTCAGCTAAGAACTATCCACTTGTAGGAGCTGGATTTTATTATGGTCATCCTTTTGTTTTAGAATAAGTTATAAAGCTACTATGGTTTCCTATATGTATTACAAATTAGGAAGTAAGAGACAGGATTCTCTATTGTGTCTATGTTAAGTAGATTAGAGGAACATTGAAGGCCTGGGTCTCAAAGTAAATTGGCTTGGTTATTGACTGTAAAACTTAGCAAGGTTTAATTTGCAATGCCCTTTTGCTCAATATAAAA